GGTTTGATGATCTCAAATTGTTAGTGCTTATATTGACTTATCTGGAGACCCAAGGTCTCAAAGTGTTTTTTGATCACGTTTAGCATCTTGTTTGAGGTAACTTTGTATAACGTGCCTAGTTCTGAGTATTTTGCCATAATAATCATGATAATTTCAGGCATCAGACTGCTGACTTAATGCATTTCCATGGATTTAGGTCGTAAGTAAAAGTAAGCTTTAGCATAATATACTTGTTTTTTCTTGTGTTTAGTATTTCTATAATAAAAGATCTTCATATTTTTTTTAATAAGTTTACCAAATATATTATGTTGAGAAGTTATTTATTTAAATTATTAGTTTTATTAGATTGTGTTTTTTTATTTATACCTGGCACGTTTTTAAAGCATTTTTATTTGTTGTCGAGCCGAGTTTGCATCTTAACAGTTTTTATTTGATAATTTTCAATCCGCATATAATGGATTATACTGCTCCTCCATATCCTGTTGAGAAAGAACCACCTTCTTATCAGAATACTTGCGATTTTCAGTTAAATCAGAATTTACCGACTACTCAGCCCACTTATCCTCAGCAGAACAATCATCAGTTTCAGCCTTATGCTACTTACCCAGTTAATCTCACTGAGACCAACATACACATTATTTCACAAACTCCTGTTACCACACAAACTACAACTGTTGTAACTTCGTTTGGCCGATTGCCAGTAAGTATGACTTGCCCATGGTGCTACCAACTGATAGTTACACAAACAACTATACACGATGGCTGTTTTACTTGGCTTATGTGTGGCCTTATAGCTTTTTTTTGTGGCCTTTTCGGGTGTTGTTTGATTCCATTTTGCTTCGACGACTGCAAAGACGTTTACCACCGCTGTCCGATTTGCCTTAGACCTGTTGGCTCCTTCACTGTTATATGAATTTGCCTGATGTAACAAACCTCACCATTATGTTTTTTCGAAAATGTTATTTTATTTATGATGCATGCTCTTATTCGACGTATTTATTCAGTCTGATCGCTATTTTTAACCAGGTCTTTAAATAAAATAAGTGCATAAGTACATAATCCTGACGGAACCTACTTTTTTTTTACCAATTTACTAATTTTGTCTTGAATTTACGTATAACTTAAGGTATGTATTCGCTTTTGGTGACTATCTTTCGTGGTGAGTTATTTAATTTAATGTGTGTGCCCCAACCTTAAATTGACACTTATTTTAATG